GGGTTACAGTTAAAAGAAATGTTACTTAGCTTATTCCTATTCATATAATCTAATGAATATTCCAGAGACAAGAATCAAACTATGATAATATAGATATCTAAAACCCCAAGAAAGCTATTCTATGCATATATATGCGTTTTGAGGTAGTATTCATCACGGACTGACATCAGCTTGGGAACCCTTGGAAACCTGGGAGTAGTATACAGTTTTTTCGTCCTAGTACGGGACTCCTCAGCAGTATGAACCCCTGACTTGACTACGGATCGAACTCAGGACCTCCAGGTCCCATGGCCAGTACGTTAACCATCCAACTACTGGGTCGGAGTCCAATGGTTCACAGTTTCCAACTTCTGTGGATATATATATATATATATATATATATATATATATATATATATATATATATATATAATACACTAGTAAAGCAAATATAATGAGTAGAATTCAGACAATAAGGTCACGAGTGGGGAACGAAATTAGGAATACGAGTCTATGAACTGATCGTGTTATGTGAAAACAGCATTATTGTCAGAAATTACTTTTATGATAGTAGGAACCCACCAACAACTTTTTCCTTCTGAATGCATAGCTTTGGTTTTCATTACTTAACAGCTACCACTTCAGTGAAACGTAACGAATCAAGTTCACCTTGCACTAATTATTTTGTATAACTTCTGGATGGTGATCAAATTTCTATTATCTATCTGGTAATGAATGATCTCTCTTTTAAAGAATTTCACTTCTCTCTGTTTCAAACAATTTGAAACATACCTAGGCATATGGTTGCGAAGCCTTTTCTCTGCAACATACATATGAATAAGTATTTACAACAGTGGATATGGTATGAAGGCCTATCAACCCTAGGTTGCCTAATTGAGTAATTCGTTCGGCAAAAAATAACAAACTTTCTTAACTGAATAGGTCCTCTTTAATGTAGCATTTACTCCGTAGTTGATGTGGATTGTTATGGAAGACTTTTGACAATGGTTATTCCCTCACGGAATGTCTCTTTCAAGGAAAGATATTACATGCCACTTGAAGGTTTTTTCACCAGCCTTTCCTTGCAGTTTATCAGGCAAGAATAGTGAAATTAAAATATATTCCCCTCTATGAATCTTTACAAGGAAGAGCCTTCGTATATTACCATCTTAAACTCACTGGATTCCGAGAATGGGGAAATAAATCTTGTCATCCCACAGATTAACGAATATGAGGCATATCTGGAACTATTGCAAAAACAACGAATATATTGGCAGTCTATACACTGTAGAATACTATCCAGTTGACTGCATGCTTCATACGGCTTCATTCATGATTCCTAATGAATGTTTCAGAGGGAGCAAGCTCCAACGTGCTGCCTATTGCATATCTATCAAACTCATGGTACGACTGACTGCCCAAATCAACATAGAACAGTGTACAGAAATGCATCGGGTCAAGTTGTTACAACTTATGGTCTATAAAGTTGTTGAATTTAAATCGTATGTTCTTAACTCATATGACGGTTTAAACGACTTACATTTACGCCTTACAATGTATAATTCTGTAATGAATTTAATCACCTGGTTTGCATACTGAAATAAAGAAATAATAATAATTCAATTTATGCTGCTACAAAACATCTCCTGAATCTGTTCTCACAATAAATTAGATGACCATTAAGTAATATTTTCAGTTTACATTTTGTCATGAGATAATAACAATAATTTTAGTGACCTAATCAATCGCACATGACTGATAAACATCATACTTAGATGAAACACCTAAATATTAAATATTTTCCTTTAATATGAAGACTTTAAGAATGAATGTTTAAAGGGTTATAGATAGAACAACACCACAGACAAATATCTAAGGGATAATTTCTAATGTAACACTCTTAGCATGAATAATTTTCCATTTCATAAGAATCCTTAATTATTTTCAATTGAGAATGAATGAAAAACTGCTTCAGACAGTCCTAAGTTAAATACTTGTTATATCTTTTCATATTAACTAACTTTATAAACGATTATTAGTTAGAAAACAACAAACGTTAGCTAATCTTCGTAAGTAATCAAAATCCAACGTTCATATGAATGTTTCGTCAGCTATTCTTAGTTCATGTATCACCTCCCATGTTTTTGCTTGCCTAATCATTTTTCTCCCTCTGATTTGAAAAAGTGTTTAGCTTTAACAGCGAAATTCTGCTTCGCTGCCTATGATATTCGATATAATAACATTTATATTCAGTTTAACCTACTTTGTAAATTAAAGTCAACCTTCCTCTATTTAACAATGAATTTGTAAACTTTCTAAGCAAATTCTTCACAGATTTAGTTAGTCGATAGAATATATATATGTATCAGACATTTATAACAGTTTTCCAGTAGTTTCTGAAATGCTTTTTTATGAAAATAGTGGAATTTTTTTCTTTCATAGCCTTTTCCAAGAACAACTTTGTTAAAGAATTCTGGGGATCCGCCAAGAATGATGATAAATCAAAGAAATTTCTACACTTTACTACAGTAAATGTCGCATTTTTTCCTATAATGCAACCTGTCAGTAGCACGCTACACCTACAAAAGTTCAGAAAACAGACTTACAACATATCACTCTACAAATGCAAATATAGCAAGCAAAATAATCTTTATTAAACGATATAGTCTGACTTGAAAAATCTCCCAGTACTATATTTTACAGTGCAAAGTTCAATAATCCCCCTTGCTATTCCAGAAATGAAGATTTGATTTCCTCTGTTATTCTGAGTATACTGATGCTTTATCATGCCAAGGCCTTGAACCATTCAACGATTAAAGTAAATAAAAAGTGCACGTCATTTAATCACTTTCGGATTTTTATTCATAATTTAGTCATAATTCAACATTATTCTGCATTAGCATGGTAATCATTAGTTGAATTTATGTGGATTACCTAAGATTCATAAAGCTAATAATCTTTTACGCCCTGTATTGTCTGTATGTCGTTCCTCCACACATAAATTAGAAAAATACTTGGTGAAAATGTTAAGTCCAGTTCAAAACGAAATCTGTAAGTTTTCATTAGGAGATTCTTTTCAAATTGTAAACTGTCTTAGTAACATGATTATAAAAAGAAGATTATGCACTCCTTCGATGTAAATTCCTTATTCATTGACGTACCGATGTCCAAGACTATTAGCATTCTATATGACCATATATCTTCAGGAAACCTCCCACTTCATATTACTCAAACCTTTCTGAGGTAGCTATTATTGCTGTGTACCGACAAAGTCCACTTCACATTTGAAGGTGAACGCTTGCGACAAGTTAACGGTGTAGCTATGGGTAGTCCTTTAGGACCACTACTAGCTGATATTTATATCATATATAGGAAATCTGTCTGATCTCATCGCTCTCATCGATCTCATCGTTCACTCTACCATACAGAGGAGAGTTGAATAGTATCATCTAGAGACGTAGGTTGACACCAGTCATTAAGAAAGCATACTACGCAGCTAATCTTATCATGGTGGCAAAAACAAAACACATACTTTACCAAAAACCTAAAGACTGCATCAATAATTACGTCACATCCCACTGTGTTTACCAATTTACATGTGTGTATGGTCACACACACATAGGGAGCAGCAATCGAGTCATACAGTTGAGGGTGGGAGAACATGTACGTAGATAGCTTGAAAAACAAATGCAGTGTGAAACCGTGATGAAGGCTGATGGGAGACGACCCTCTTCATCTATAGCTAAACATATCATAGAAACAGATCACAAAGTTAATTTTGAAACAGCTTTCAAAGTTTTATATAGAAACAGTCAGCTATAGCCATACACAAATCAAAACCGCCTTTATGTGTACAAAAATAATTTGTTCTTACACTACACCTACCTTGATAAACTTTGTCTTATTACCAAGATTAGGATCAACTAAGTCACTTCTTGGTTGTTCTTATCTTTCCTAATTTTAATCCCCTATTGTGTTCATTGTTGTATCTATCCTCGCAGTCCTCAGTTTAACTAATATATTGACTTGACAAGTAAATGTGTCATCAGATTGTTCGAAATGTATTGCGCAAATACATCATATTCCTCAGATAAACTTCGTCTTCTAATTACGCTATCGAAAATCATTAGTTGAACATATCTGTCCATAATACTCAATCCTTTGTGTTTGATTGTTGAAGTTAATCTAAGTATTCATATCCATCAATTATTCACAAAAATAACCGATCCACCACACCAGTTGAGTAACTTTAATCTGGGCTGTTTTCACAATAGAATTACAATCTTTTATCCTTTCTTACTAGTGAATAGAACTTGGAATTCAGTAACATGCAGAAAAATCAAGAACTGTTATTGTAATACGCACATTCCAAGCAATCGCAAGACGTTATTTAAACAAGTCATAAGCAGTTCAGTCAGACTGCATCAAGCCATTTCATCATATGTTTCACAGCAATATGATCGTAGTAGTACTTAAAGATAACCAATGTGATAGTAGAATCACCAATAGTGAAGAACAAAGGATGATAATCAGTATATTATTGATAAAATATTATAACCTTCCATTGAAATAGCCATTCGTACAATATATTTAAGTTCATCTTCATCTTCTATCTCATCTTGTTACTGATGCGACCACACCGTCTTTTGAGATTCTCTGGAAAGAAAATTTATCCATTGCTTGTAATTATTTATAACTTCTTCTAACCTCTTAACATATACTACTTATATGCATTCTTAACAGTAGCACCCAGTACAATAGTAGCGTAGAATAGGAACGACTAGTAATAATAGATATCCTTACACATGTAAACACTTTTCAAAACTTGAATAGACATCACTTTTTAATTCAAGTATACCTAAACAGTTACAAATAATCCTTTGAATGAATAAAGATTATTTAATACATCAGTCTGTTATCTGTCAGCACAAGTATTACTGAACACAGTTTAACACAGTTAATTCTGTTATTTTATCGATTGGGTAGTCATTTTTCAAAAGTACAAATATACAGTCTTGATTACAAATCCATGTGATATATATATAATAAGTAGTTGAAGAAGTATAAGCCGCGAAAATCACAAATATGTATCAATTTATATTCCTAAATGGAAAACAACCATATACTGAAAGAAAAATATTTTGAGGTGATAGGAATAAAATTTATAACATTATTACTGGTAATAGTTATTCAAGAAATGTATATATTTTCATCAATCTAACTTTATATATTATCCAAAACTGAAAATTTTTAAATAATCCACATAAATGAAATTTGTTTTAATGTATCAAAAATGAATTATTTGTACAATTCATTCAATAATTTAAAGTATATTGAAAATGAAGCATTAAAATCTGAAATCCAAATGACTCAATTATCTCATGATAATTCCTTTAATTTTCATGAAATTATCGAACAAATATTAACAAAAAATGAATCAGTTATCAGTAATTTCATTCATTTATTGAATTCAAGTGAATTAATTCAACAAGTTAGATCTTTTACAGTCAATAATACTGGTTCTGCAATAAATACTGGAAAAATGTAAGTTCTATGCTTTATAAATACATGGAACGGATTTCTTTTCAATGTTTGTTTTATTTCATAGTAAGATTTGACACAATTTCTTCCTTTAATGAATTTGGATAATGTAATTAGAGGATGCAGTTTATCTGAAAGGTGTAATGTATTTAGGCCATACATTTAAAAAATCAAATGTGTAATCAGATTATTTGAAAAGGAAAGATAATCACACAAATATGGTCTGTATGGTAAGAGCAAATAGACATGTAGACCGGAAGATACGGATGAGGGAAAAGTGAGTAAAACTCCATGATTTTCCTTCCTTTGTCTGTTTACTAACCCTGGGATTCTTTGTCAGTAGTAATGTAATCTTGATTTACAATATGTATATTCATCATTATTATTTGTCCTTTGGGTTCCTAATGGAACATACGGACTCAGTAGCACGTCTCCAATGCTCTCTGCCCTCTGAAATCTTTTGAACCTGGTTCCACAACAGCCCACAACCTCTCATTTCTTCCTCACGCGATCTCCTCCATGTCATGTCACCCTCACCTCGGATGCCCAACTCGTCGCTTCCCATCTGGGTTCCACTCGACTGCCTGACCTGGAGCGTGATGTCCCCAGTCGGCCTTCTCAGTGTATGCCCAATCCACACCCACTTCCTTCCAGTGCATATCTGTTGAGCGATAACTTCTTGGTTGGTTCGTTCCCAGAGCTCCTTATTGCTTGTTATTTCTGGTCATCTGACCATCAGTAACGAGTGAGCGTAGGCAGTTGTTGACGAATGTCTGTAGTTTGTTGGAAATGCCTTTCGTAAGGCACCAAGTCTCTGCATCATACAGAAGCACTGACTTGACTGGATTGGTGTTGAAAATCTGGATCTTGTTCCACATGCTGGGTGCAGTGCAGAAGACCTCCACACTGGTTTCAGGCTTATGAACGCCTGTCTTGCTTTGCCGATTCTGAATTTGACACCCTCGTCTGTGCTTGTGCCGCCTGTAGATGAAACAGTGCCTCCTAGGCAGGTGTAGGTGAAGGAGGCTTCTACCTTTAAGTTCCTCCCATTCATGGTGATTGGAGTTTGTTGTTGTTGGAGTTGGAGTTGTTGGTTTGGTATCTTCATCACCTCTGTCTTCTCTATATTCACTTGAAGGTAGCCATGTCTTAGCTGCCTCGCTTCTTCTGTCCACTTGTTAGTTTTCGCCTGTAGATCTTAGAGTTTGTGCAACATCAGACACAAGTCATCGGCAGCGAAATCCAAATCTTCTAGGTTCTTTCCCGCTGTCAAGCGTATCCCCCTCTTCTCACTCCCCAATGTTCGTTGCATGACTCAGTCGACCACAATCAAGAATATCATGGGTGGTAGTAGACAGCCTTGTTTCACTCCTGTCTTCACTTCAAAAGCATCACTGAGCTGAGCTTTTCATTGTGAATTACTCGGCATGTGGCGTCTTCATATAGTTGTTGAATGAGATTGATAAAGGTTTGTGGTATTCCATAGTGTTGAAGCAACTGTCAAATTACTCCTCGGTCGACGCTGTCGAAAGCCTTCTCAAAGTCGATGAAGTTGAGGTAGAGAGTCGACTGTCATTCTATACTCTGTTCCATGATGATGTGAAGCGTTACAATTTGGACCGCACATGATTTGTACTTCCTGAATCCAGCCAGCCAGCCTGTTTCGGTCGTAGTTTTGAAACCAGCGCATCCTTTACTCTCTCCAGGATGGTGCAGCTTAATATTTTGCTTGCCCTGGGTGGGCAGGAGTGGAGCAAGATTCCGCGCCAGTTCTTGCAAACACATAGGTCACCCTTCTTCGGGAGTTTGACGAGATAGCCCTTCTTCCAATCAATAGACAGGTTCCTTCCCTTCCTTCCACACCTTCTGCAATAGTGGTGTGAGCATGTCCGCTGTTGTCTCTGCGTCTGCTCTCAGTGCTTCTGGTGGGACTCTATCTGGTCCTGCTGCTTTCCCACATTTCAGTAGCTCTATAGCACTCAGGACTTCCAATTTTGTTGGCGGATTTGTGTTCACTTGTAGTTCTGTGGCTGGGCTGTAGGTGGTATTTCTGGACGAAGTGCAGTTGGTGGTCGACTCAAGAGCTTTTTGAAGTGGTCAGCCCATCGTTTCCTTTGTTTCTATTCTTTGGAAATTAAATTTCCTTCATCACCCGTCATTGGTTTCATCTGCTTTGATTTCTCCCCTCCTAGAAAGTAACCTGGTCATATATATATATATATATATATATATATATATATATATATATATATCATACTTTCAGGGTAGGATTAGATGTTCGAATAGCCGTGTCTGCCTCAACTAGAGGGACTGTAAATCTCATTGCTACTGATTTAGTCTAATTAAGGGTATATTGTCTTGAAGTTTGAAGAATTTAGAGCTCAAATACCCTCAGGATAGTTTCATCAACCGATACTTCTGTTCTATCAGTAGGTTCTGAATCAATATCTAACTGATTTCTGACTATATGTAGTGCCATACTGATTAGTATCATAGCACAAGGATTCATTATTTGAGAAGTTCATCATTCATTTTAATAATCTCTTTACAGGTCACTGAATGTTAGTTTAATGAATTCTTAGGAATTCATTAGTGAGGCATTACAGTAAGCCATTTTATCACTCAGCCAGAAACTGCTACATTCCGTATGGTATGTACAGTGTAGACTTCTAAATCTTCTGCATAATATTGCCTAGATGTTTCCTAATCTTTTTATGTAACTCTAAAAGAAAACAAAATTATGTGACTGAAAGGTAGTCTGGTGAATAAAATGAACAGTAGAGATTATGAAGTTTTATTTGGAACATTCATTAATCCGAAATCATCTGATCTGACTTAATCCAGGAACGCTACAATTCAGAATTTTGACCAACTGAAGGGAAACATTATCATATTTAGGACTTATTTTATTAACATACACGTGTGTTTTGGTGCCTTACAATCCTTAGAGAGACTGGAACTCTGCATACATCGATATAAACACCGACACCAGGTCCAACATACAAATAAATTTCAATAGTAGTAGCTGTTCTTATTTGAATTTCATGGATAAACGAATTCGATTCTATGCATGAAAAATGTTATTTTTTCTGTCATTTCGTTCTTAGATCAATACAACCAGAAGTGGTTTTATCTGAAGAAGAATGGAAGAAAATTGTGAAAAATTGTCTGATGGAAGAAAATACTGGACAAACTAAAAATGAACAACAAAATAACTTTTTAACAAGTATTCTGAATAAACTTAATGAATTAGTTTCTAAAAGTAAACAAAAGGAAAGAAGTAATGATGACTTAGTAGCATTACTTGGTCCCTTGTTAGCGGTTACACCCAATGTAATAGAAAATCAAAAAAATATGTCAGGAAACCAAGATATTAATCATGAATTTGATTGTCATCTTTATCAGGGACCGAAAACCCCACCGTCACCCAAATCCAAGAAAAAAAATGTGAAAGTTCATTCTGTGTCACCACAAGAATTAAGTGACCTGAAGAACTGTAAAGTGTCTGAAGACAGTAAACCAGACGATAATCGATCAGACACATGTTTCGATTCTAAACGTACTGCTTCAAGTCATACCTTAGACATTCACAAGTCATCTATGTACTCAAATCAGCATTCATCCACGTCAACTTTGAAGAAATTTTATGCGCCTCATACAATCTTGACTAAGCGTGCATACCCGGAACATTTATCGGATATCTCTCCTGACTCAAATATGCATTATAGTCCGTGTAACTTAGAACCAAAAGCTGACCAGTTGCATCGTAATATGTATCAGTATGATGAACAGCAGTACTCAGGTGTCTACAACTGTAAATTAAAACCCTCCTTTGAACGGTTTACTCAACCACCGTGTACACACTCAAGCAAAACACATGAATGCATCTCATCGACAGAAAAACTTGTGAGATCTAGTAAGTATTGCAAAAAGCTTTCGCGTGAAATTGATAACCAACTACTAACTGGTAGTGAAAAGGAGTGCATATGTTCATCAAAAAAAAGGATCTGCCCGTCCACTTATAAGCAGTACAATAAAGGAGATGATACCCAGTCATCGAATTCATGTGATGAACTAACTATCAAACGTAGGCCGAACCAACACCCACTGAAGTCGAAAATCTTTGATAAGTGTACGTCTGAGCAGCACAGTCATGATCGTTTAAACTCCAATGAAACAGACTACAGATACCGATATGTCTTTCCTAAACAACTACATCCCATTTCCCGTACTGAAGAAGTATCACAAAGGCATCGAAATGTGTCACGTTATTCATTTGTCAAAGAAGAAAAATGTCGTTATTTATCCCAGAAGAAACCTTTTCGGGCACATGATAGACATAACATGGTTGGTAAACATGAATTAAAGTTAGGTTTCCGATCGTCTTTTAATCATACAACTTTGGGTTCTTACTATCCTGTTAAAAAAGCTTATTTCGGTACTTCGCAAACAGTGTCATCACCACCGTCGTGTGGGTTGGTGATGACTGGAACAAGTTATCATTATAAGTCTCATAATGAAGCGTCGGATAAACCTTACAAACGAGGTTTGGCACACCACAAGCAAGGACGTCAAACTGTGTACAAAGGACCTCCTTCTCCACATACCGTGGCGCGCAGTTATTACACTTCCCTGATAAAAGACTCTCCTTTATCACCCCCAGAAGTTGCATATAGAATAAATCACCCATGCAAACGCTACTTGAATTCCAACTATTCGGACTCCTGTGAAACTTTAAATAATCACAATAATACTGATAATCGTAGAGCGAATTGTCTGAAGCCAGCTTCATTTAAAGAAGTGTTCAATGAATCACGCAATTCATCTTTGTCTTCGGCATCATCAATCTCAGCCTCTGGAGAAGAGAAAATAGGCATGAAGGCGAGATTACATTCTGTGATTTCTGGTATGCCAGACGGATCTGAGACTGTGCAGGCTATTGACAGTAGTAGTAACGGAAGAAATTACAAAGGTGTACATAGTTCTACATTGTTTAAAACTATCAGCTCATCAAAAAGCTCATATCAAAGTTCCAAGCAGTCTAACTGGCCAGCTACTAAGGATGTAGGAAAATACAGTTCATCCAAAATAAACAGATACATAGAGCTACCATCAGCATCTACAAGTTGTGCGAGTACTGCTGTGAAGCTTGCAGATCAAGATAATATAAGCAAGAGTTGTAAAGGTGATTTAGTCAAAGAATGCTACATTCCGAAACCAAAAGAAAGGAGTCAGACTGCACGTTCAAGAAGTACAAGTAGCAGCAGAAGTCAAACTAGTACCATAACAAGTGACAAAAGCAGAAACGCAAGCTATACTAGCAGTCATAGACGTGATTGTACTAGCAGTGGAAGTAGCAGTATCAGTAACAGTGTAAGCAGTGTTAGTAGGCACTCTACTTCTACCTTATCCAGTTACGAAACCCATAGCTTAAAAGATGAAGAAGATAGCTCAGATTATCGTGACAGCCAAAAGTCCCACTGTCTTATCTCCACCGGTTCCAAATCCCATCAATTCCTTACTAGTAAGAGCCTGAACAAAGATGAAGATAAGCAGGACGATTGTGTTATTCACGTACTGTCTAATACTTCAGTGGAAGACTTCCCTTCTGAAAGCAAAGGATCAAACATTAAGTCGGCTTCAACTGTTCAGCGTTGTGAGAGTAAGGATGGCAAGATAAAATTGCAGTCATTTTCAAATTGCAGAATATCATGTCAATGTTGTGGAGAAGGTGAGACGAATTCAACAGGAAGCGACAATTTAAAAATCAGTGGAATTATTTTAAAAGAGAAGGGATTGGATGTGAAACAATCAGGACTCACAAGTATTGGGGAAAAATATATTTATGATAACGATAAAGGTTCTTACAGAAAGGAATTAGCATGTGATAACTCTTCATTCGTAAGTGAGTTCAAGAACTCACCAAAGAAGTATGAAATAAAACCACATGGTATAGACAGTTATGAGTTGAAGCAGGAAGAATCTAATATGAAAAAACTTAAAAAATACTCAAACTCCATTATGCATTTTGCATGGAACGAGAGGAAAACTAGAAAATGTAAAGATACGAATAAGATAAGATCTGTTGTCGTTATAAATAACGACATACGGAAAAGGATGAATGTGGATTTGAACTGCAAGTTAGGCAGAAATACTAATCAAGATTATAATGAGACAGAAATAGAGATAGGTGATAGTAACAACACTACAAAGACAGTGGTAACCCTACCTGATGATGAAGTGAGACGACGGCTAGCTTATGAGGAAAGTGATTACACTGACAACGACATGAAGGAAGACAGTGATGATGACAACGTAGAAAATGTTAGCAAAGGGGAAGAAGATAAAAACGTTGAGGAGTTAGCCGTGGAAGAGGCAGAAAGACAAGACGATGCAGAAGAGGAAGGTGAAGTTGTTTCAGATGGTACAAGCGAGAATGGAGAAGATGAAAAAGGACGTTGCACAAAAAGTTCATGTGGATACAGTCGGTTGCATAGTATTCATCGTTTGAATTCTCATATTTGTCCAACCGAAGCACGTGATCTATCCGGTAAACCTCGAATGAAAACTGATAGGTATGACGCCAGAATCATTTCTTCCGATGGAAAACTCAAAAATGGAATCAATTTGTCAATTAAGCATCATTACTATAAAAAAGATGATAGAGGAGAAAGAATAGGTGCAAGAAACTACACTAGCTATCCTAAATATTACTCCTCATGCTTGAAACCACCACATTTTATTCACAGAAACAGAATATATCACAGATTAAAACTTCATGAACATTCATCTCGAAGTCACCATCACAAATATGGAACCTATCCCGGAAGATTTTTCTCATCATCGCTGAGAAAACAAATCTTCTTTAACAGGCTACATTCTAGTAGATATAAACCTGAAGAAAGACAGGACACCTTAATTAGATCTGATAAAATTAGTGCAGAAAAGCATTTTAAATACATACCCAGTGAACTAAAGTATGAAAAAGAAGACCGAAACAAGTTTAGTGAATGTGAACGAACAACCCGTTTCAAGTCTGACAAACACAGTAGCTCCAAGTCTGGTAATCTGACAAATCTAACATCTCCAACATCTACTTCAATGAAATATTCAGCAATGACATCTTCAGCTCATCACGATTCCTCTCATAGGCATTATTTGAAACATAGCTTCCATAAGACTAGGAATGATGACTTTGATCACGAAAACCATAAAATCCTGAGTGGTCAATCAAAAAACACTCGCTATAAGACTGTTTCAAGCTAGTGCTCTTATCAGTTCATTGTGTTACAAAATGATATGATATCTAAATTTTGTTGTTTAATTTGTTGCAGTTACTAGTCTGTATCTAATAAGTTTAAACTTTTGAAAGTAATTGTTCGTTTGTTAATGCTCCAAAAAAGTTGTTTATTTTGTCTGATAAGTTGAAAAAAATGCCAAAATAACTTGTTTCATTTTACACGCAACTAATTTAGTAACGAGGTGTTAATTTGTTCGTCAATCCTAACCAAAGGCAATGAAATATTGAACCCTTTAGTGCCAACACCCACTGCCGAATTTCACAAAATGTTTCGCCAGACGAAACCGAACATCTTGGGCCATGGATATATGATGCGTTTGTAAGACATGCACACAAGTGATTGTAGCGTCACACACTTCCCCAAAATCAATAGCCTAGGGTTTGACGACTTTCAACTTGATGCTGACCTTGATAGTTTAACTGGACTCGCTAAGCTGAAGGCACCCGGTCAAGCATCCTCGCCATTTGGCACGCTGTCGTGTTACGTTGCATTGCTCGTATTCGACTCTCTAGCCAGTTAGTTGGAACGCATCGGTATTTTGGCATAACCATCCAAATATACTATTCCATCCGACTACGCTATCGTGTTCTTCCTTGGTCTCGTATTCGTGGGTATATAACAAGTTCGAATAATTAGTGATTGGTCTTTGCGTCTGTCAAGTTCGCACCAGGACAAATCCTAAATTGGTGAGCCCGACGTGATCACATATCCCGATCAATAACAAATATTGAATTGGTGAGCCTGTTCCATTTTATATTTGTTTATTGTTTTCATTTCGATAACATTTATATATCCATTTACTACACTTTCTCATGTCCGACCACACTCCCAAGCTTATTCGTATTAAGCCGACTACGAACACGATCCAACTCGTGCCATATTGGCCAGACAATGCAGAAACATGGTTTCTGTATGCCGAGGCCGATTTTCGAGAACAGGGTGTCTCAGATCCTCATCTCGATTTCTTGCTGTCATACGGTCACTACCGCGAGAATTAAACAGGCATGTTACAGCAAACATGTTTAATCCTGAAGTAAGTGACCCTTATGCACTTCTAAAGGCCGCACTCTTGAAGAAAAGCGATCTCACAGATCGCCAACGTCTAGACGAATTGCTTCGTAACATCGAGCTAGGCAGCCACTCAGCTACTGAAGTCCTCGCACGCATGCGAGAAGTAATCGGTGCACGAACATTTGACGATGGTTTCTTCCGAGAACTATTTCTCTCGAAACTACCACAACCGGTGCAAACCGTGTTGGTGACACTCCAGTCAGTCCCACTCGACGACCTGGCAGCCTCAGCAGATAAAATACTGGAGATATCCAGCAGACCCGTCTCCAACGTATATTCTATCTGCGACAAACCAGAGCGCCAGGATTCGGAGGTGACCAAGTTGTGCAACTCTGTGAAACGGTTGCTACGATCTCGAAGTCCTAGATCACGTAGCACTTCACAGAAACGCACCTTGGCGCATCGCAGCAAGTCGCGTGGTAGCCCTAAAACGAAACCCAACAGGGTGGAAAACCCTGAATGGTGCTGGTTTCATAACACTTTCGGGGATGAAGCCAGAAAATGTCGTAAACCATGCCGTTTTAAGAAGGACACAAACTCGGGAAACGGTCACGCCGGCACGTGTTCACGGCAACCGTAGCCGGCGGAAACAGCCGTTTGCTATACGCCGCAGATGTTAAAACGAAAGTCCGCTACCTCGTCGACACTGGCGCAGAAGTTAGCGTTCTTCCCGCACCGACAAAGGAGCGTCATCATGACCCATCCTTCAATCTTCAAGCAGCCAACGGCAAGGCAATCGCGACATTCGGGAGACGGTATGCCTACCTCAACTTAGGTTTACGCAAACCTATCCACTGGATTTTCCTCCTGGCTGACGTTTCTATGCCCATCATTGGCATAGATTTGCTAAACCATTACGATCTACTCGTAGATGCTCGCCGTCGACGACTGATAGATAACAACACAAAGTTATCTATTGGCGGCACCACCTATGTAGGTCCGAGTTTAGCCATCGTTAGAACCAAACAATCAGGCGACGCGTCCTACCAAGCAGTTTTGGAGAAATATCCAGAGTTGCAGCAACCGAAGCACACACTTCCGTGCATAACCAGCAATGTTATGCATCACGTCACAACCACAGGTCCACCTGTGGCATCCAAAGCACGCCGTTTAGCCCCCGATAAGCTCAAAACGGCGAAAAGTGAATTCGACCACATGCTCGAACTGGGCATTATCAGACCGTCAAACAGTCCTTGGGCATCGCCATTGCACATGGTTCCCAAAAAGGATAGCAACGACTGGCGTCCAACCGGTGATTACCGAAGGCTTAACGCCAAAACAACTCCGGACTGCTACCCGATACCTCACGTTTACGATTTGACTGCAACCTTATGCGGAATGAACATTTTCTCGAAAATCGACTTAGTCAAAGCGTACAACCAGATACCTATGGCAGCAGAAGATATCGCGAAAACAGCCATTATTACTCCTTTTGGCCTGTTTGAATTCCTGCGCATGCCATTTGGTCTTCGGAATGCAGCACAAACATTCCAACGCTTTATGGATGATGTCTTCCGTGGTTTGAATTTTGTTCATGTCTACATCGATGACTGTCTAATTGCGAGTCCAGATAAGGAAACTCACCTTAAACATTTGGACCTCGCATTCGAAAGACTTAAAAAACATGGCATCACAGTCAACTTACAGAAGTGTGAAATAGGAGTTGAATCACTCAGCTTCCTTGGGCATACCATTGACAACAAAGGTATACGCCCATTGAGAGATAAAGTGGCGGCTATCACAAACTATCCAGAGCCGACCACTGTGAAACATCTCCGCACTTTCAATGGCCTGGTAAGTTATTACCGAAGGTTTATCCCTAACTGTGCCTCTGTCATGAGACCACTCACAGATCTACTTCGAGGAACTGCGAAGTTCGTGTCTCTGGACAACGCGGCTAGACTTGCTTTCTCTAAAGTCAAGGAAGCCATTTCGAACGCAACCATGCTTATGCATCATGACCCCAATGCTCCTCTGAGTATTGCTGTTGATGCATCTGATTCAGCAATTGGAGCAGTTTTGCAACAGTTGACTGACAACCAGTGGCAACCGTTAGCCTTTTTCTCGAGGCGGCTGCAAGACGCGGAAACAAGATACAGTACATTTGGTAGGGAACTCCTAGCCATGTACTGTTCTGTACGCCATTTTCGACATTCTGTGGAAGGTCGTGATTTCATTATTTTCACAGACCACAAACCGTTAACGTTTTCCCTCAGCTCGGCGTCTGACAAATACTCCCCTCGTGAGTCGCGACAGCTGGATTACATTTCCCAGTTCACGTCAGACATCCGCCACATTTCTGGAGCAAACAACTCCGCAGCCGACGCACTATCTCGAATAGCTTCGATAAACTATATCGAGGGTATTGATCTCGTTGAACTAGCTCGGCGTCAAAAGGAAGACCTTGAGCTGCATCATGAGTTGTCGTCCACAACTCTCAAACTGCGACTTTGTCCTGTTGGATCAGACAAGGATGCAATTTTGTGCGATGTCTCTGCTAGTCAACCACGCCCAATAGTTCCGAAGAGTTGTCGACGCAACGTCTTCAATACGTTGCACAAACTCTCTCATCCAGGTGTACGAGCCACCATTAGGCTTATCGCACAACGTTTCTGCTGGCCTGGGATGAACAAAGACGTTAAGGAGTGGGCCCAGTCGTGCTTAGCTTGTCAAAAGTGTAAAGTCACGCGACACACGAAAAGCCCTTTAGGCTCATTTCTAGCCCCAGACATGCGTTTCGACCACGTCCATATAGATATTGTAGGACCCCTACCAGAATCTAATGGATGTACCTACCTTTTCACCTGTGTTGATCGTTTCACACGATGGCCGGAAGCAGTACCCATTAAAGATATTACTGCCGAAACAGTTGCTCGTGTTTTCGTCGAAAGATGGATCGCGAACTTCGGATGTCCATCCTACGTCACAACCGACCGTGGGCGCCAATTTGAGTGCGGACTATTTCACGCTCTAACGGCACTTTTAGGTTGCACTCGGTTCCGAACGACAGCCTACCATCCACAAGCAAATGGCATGGTAGAGCGTTTCCATCGACAGCTGAAAGCTTCCCTTTCAGCTACAAACATACCTCAGTGGACCGAGGCTCTGCCTCTAGTCCTACTAGGTATTCGTAACGCGTTGAAAGTTGATGCTGGATGCACTCCTGCAGAACTCGTCTATGGGACCACTCTTCGCCTACCAGGTGAGTTTGTTTCCCCTTCAACTTTCAAACATGTTTCCGACAGGGCATCTTACGTGACTAGGCTTACAAACGCAATGCGTTCAGTTAGGCCTTCTCCGATTAGACCGCAAACGACTGATGTTTTCGTCCACCCCAGTTTACAGAAGACATCACACGTGTTTGTTCGCCACGACGCTGTTCGTCGACCACTTGAACCACCCTACGACGGGCCGTTCAAAGTGATTAAGCGACATGAGAAATTCTATGTAATTGAGCGAGGCGGACGCGAAGATACTGTCAGTATCGACCGTTTGAAACCAGCTTATTTCGAAGGCAACCCCATTGTAAGTGACGTTTCAGCTCGCTACATCCGACCGACGGATGACTCAATTATCGAAATTCTCGACGATGTGCCTGGTAATGCACAGCTGCAACAACCAGCGGCGCAACAAAAAACACGATCAGGTCGAACCGTCAGGTTCCCAGAGTACCTGAAGTCATATTCAACTTAGCTATGTGTGTGCCAACCATTTTTTTTCGAGGCACTATTTTTCTTATTTACCGGCGCACAAACCCTCGTACACTTTGCCTTTTTATATCAATTTTTATTTACCATGTAATAAAAACTAAAAAACCGGCGAAGATAAGCGTAAATTTTTTTTTTCGACACGTTTATATATAAATAATTCCCATTTTTACGCAACGTTTTCGTGGTATTAAAGACTTTTATTTATATTCCAGGTGCAACGAGCACTGGACGGAACGTCGAAAGGAACAGATGACCGCGACCGACGTACAATTTCATTTATTGTATTTTATTTATTTAATCGCCACGACACCCTAGAATAAGGTTCAGACAACCAGGGGCCACCTCACGCAGTGAGCCCATC